ACTAAATACATTTACTGAAGTACAGAGCTTACAATTTTGTGCTACTTCCACTACACTATGTTTCTGAAGAAATTATTGTCATTTTTACTGTCATTTGCCAGATATAGTTACAAGTTGCTTTGCAGATACATACAATACTCATGAGAAGCTTAAAAAAATACAAAGCACTGCCATTGTTAAACAGTATACAAAGTAAAGTGAGCTCCACCTTGGCCGGCTACAACTATAAAACACAACTGACACATTATTGCATCAGCAAAAATAATCCAATAATGTAATATATAAGAATGTAACACTGACAGGAGGTGGGGCTTTTAGTACTTTTACAGTGTGGTATTGCTACTTTTACGTAAGTAGATGTAAATACTTTTTTCACCACTACAACAAACATGATGAAAAAGTGAGCCAGATGAAAAACAATTGCATAAAGACCAGGACAGGGCTAATACACAGGCCACCATAGGGCTTAACAACCTACAAATTGAAATATAATTTTTAGTTTAGCATCTCAGACCCACCTTTCCTTTGATCAGGCTAATCAAATTACCACCATTAACTCTGGCCTCTTTGGGGATCCGGCTGTTAGGGAACTCCTTCTCCACAAACTTGAGAATAACAGTGTAAATAAGCAAGTCGTGGGCCAAACTGTGGAGAAAGACCTCCTGGAGAGAGGAAAGAAAATCACTGTCAGTGATGAAAAGAAACCCACCACCCAGTTTCTTTCATCAGTGTAACAGGATGACAGAGGAGGAAACATAACTACCTCACTGATGCTGGAATTAGAGCAGTTTTTTGGAAGTGAGGAGGTTTTGTAGTTGTCCAGAATGAGATATTGCACGTCTTTGAATTCATCTTCAAACTGATACAGGGCAAATGATAAAAAACACATGATGGAGGTCAGGAGTGCAGTTTACTTTACATCACTCTAACTTTCAAAATTAGTAGGTAAAACTTGGCCTTCACTGGTGCACCTCAATATGTTCAGGCAACACGCTTACCTCCCCCTTGTGGCGTTTGGTTTTGTCAAGCATCAAGTCCCTGAGTAGGTCAGACAGTTTCGGCTCCTCCTCACCTGAGGTGTCACCTGCCAGGGTGTCGGTGGGCGCGTCTACAACTGGAGCTCCGGGAGCGAGCTGGAGCAGAGCTGCCAGCATCACTGCAGAGAGCAAGTAAGCGTCTGTGCGGGGAGGAGAAGCATGAATGAATGACTGACTGAAAAGAGGAAGAAACACGGGAAACATGTGCACCACAGGCTGCAAATCACTTACTGAGTTTAGAGGGCATGTTGTGCTGCTGGGAAGCAAGTTGAGTTTCCACTGATGCTGAGGGCTGTCAGGGCCAGAAGGAGGTGCTCTGTCTTTGTGATGGGCTGTCATTTTATATTCTTCAGTTTGGAGGGATTTCCCAATTCCCCACTGCAACAGGCACGGACTTAAAGGTTTGTGTCATCTATCTGTGGTTGATGGTGATTTTGATGAAGATGGCAGAAGTGTCCATCCTTAAAAATGACCAGCAAGAGCAGGAATTTACAAGATGCTTTGATTCTTTTGTAGTTCAAATTAACAGCTACAATGCTCTATAAGTAATCATTTCAATAACTTGACCAATAATGAAACACGTTTAAAACACACACAAAGTCAGTGTTGACATACTTGTGAAAAAAAATCCCTATGATATTTTAAGCCATATAATTTAAAGGGAAATCCACCAAAACCATACATTTGCATAAAAGCTTCCTGATGGCCTGTGGTGGTAAAATCAGTATCGATGAAATATACAACATTATCCGGTGACGTGAAGTCAAATTGATGGTGGGTTTTGAATTTGAATTACACACTCAGGGACAAGTTGCCTTTTCCAGGCAACTGTCTGGATTTGCAACACTTATGTTATATAATCCCCCCCCCAAATGATCAGCTGATCAATATATCCAACTGTGTATTTTAATTCTCATGGTATTGTATCAAAATATTTTTTTTATAAAATGAAGTTTAATTAGTGCATGAAATTAGTGATTCTCTTTTGGGATGGCAGTGGTTTGTTGGTTGGTCGGCCAGCACATGACTTTGGTTCAGACTGAAATATCTCAACAACTGTTATATGGATTGCCATGAGATATTCATGGTCCCCAGTGGATAAACTGTAATAACTTTAGTGATCCAACAACATTTCCCTTCCTTTACTTGTGATCCCTGAACCTTTTATCGGGCGCCATCATCAGGCCTTGTTTTTATCCTCTCCATATTGTTTTCAGATACAGTGCAGGATGTAAATGTTAGTCCAAAAAGATTTGATTACTACTACTACTCCCTAGCTCCTGCCTGACTTTTTGACTATAGGAGTAAGAAAATACTGTATGACTATAGTTGGCTGCATGCCAGCTATGTGGGACTCCTTACACACACTCTAAGTTCATGCTGATATTAATTTGAAGTGGCTTTGATATGATTTCATGTATAATATGGGCTACCACTGTACCATTTACTGCCATGCACCCACTGATTGTTAGGCACTGACTAATTCCTGTAGGTTTCTTGTCTCCCTCCCTTTCCTGGAATGCTCTCCCTGCAGTGGTAATAGACATTAACCCTCAAATGTGTTATCATTCTGGTTTAAACCCTGTGTAGTTTTACCATCGTGGGACCAATTGTGGTCTTGCATTCCAGAAGTGACAGGGTAGAAGGGATATAACTCACAATAGTGTGGGTTCCTGTTCTCAGGGATTAGTGCAAGTTCAATGTAGGTGCATTTGCCAACTTTTTTGTTTCCAAGTTGAAATATATGGTATTAGTGGTCCGCAGCTGTTTTTTCTTGACATTTGTTTAGCAGCTTGTTTTCACTAAAGCAGAGGAAGAGGATTCCTTTTCTGTGCTTCTTCCATTTTCCTCCTCCCCGAAATGTTTTACATATTAAGGGTATTCTTTGTTTCTATTGTAAAGTAAAATTTGTGTTTTGATTTAAATTTCCAGTGTTAATATGCAAAGATAAGAAGACTATATCTGAGTCTTTAAATGTGACGAAATGTGACGACTTTGAGGACAGTACAGTACGTCACCATTCTGTGAAACTTGGCTAGGATATGACCAAAGTCCTTATCGTCTCTGATATGACCCTGAGACTTTTGCCAAAATATGATCCTAACTTGGATATGAGCTTTGTTCTTCACCTGTATTGTGTGCCTAATTAGTCACACACATTGTTTTCTTGTAATCACTTGAAATAGAATAAAAGAGGTGAGTACCAAAGAATTAATCAGCTCGAGATACATCATTTCCTTTTTCCTTAAACATTCAAAGAAAAGCCACCTTCCTCCACCAACTCCCATGTTTTCACAACTTTATTTCTTTCTTCATATTCTCCTTTCAGATACTTGCAATACTAATAGTTGCAACTACTTTCCATTTAATTCAGCATGGCAACGTGTATTCATTAGTGCTTTACTCCATAGGCTCTGTGACATGCTTGGTAATCAAAATATCTGCTACTATTTTTGATATGTAATTTTCCCTCCTGTCACTTGGGATTACTCATGGGGAATCAAACCGGAGAACTCCCAAACTGGTTTTTAAAAAAAAGCAGTAACCTGCATACAAATTGATGCTTTATCTGCTTTATGGGCGATGTTGTAAGAAAGGGTTTGTGTCCACTTTTGATCGGGGAGTGTTTCAGTACTTTCAGTGGACAATCTGAGACTTCAGAATAGCTCAGTGGTTTGCAGCGCGCCGTCTGAGGTCAATGGGAAGTGCCGATCCTGGACATTCTCTTAAAGAAACACTTTCAGTTTGACATGCAAAGTTTTGAGTTGTACATCTATTATAATTCTAGACCTTGAGGAGCATTAATTTATTGTGTGATTATTGTGCTCACTTTTCTCGTTTGAGGAAGAAAGTCTGCTGAGCTGGAAGAAGTGCTCTGAATCATTTCTTCTTTTTTTGTAACCAAAGTAATTCATTGTTTACCACAAATGTCCACATTATGCACACTATATCAACCACAGACAAACCGTGCCTCTTTTATTGCAAATTAATTCCCTTGAAAATCCAATTATTATTCTTTCTAAAAAATGTAATAAACACTTATAAAGCAGCTTTGTACTGTTTTGTAACCTCTCAGTGCATGGCAAGATGTACACGCACATGTGTGTGTGTGTGTATTTGTAATGTTTACTTTACTTCTCTGTTTTGCTACTTTGCATTTTAAAAGGGGCTTAACACTAAGCAGCTTGGAAGGAATGCACATTATGATTTAGTGGTGCGCTCAGAAAACACATAAAGGAATGAGTTCCAAACTTTCAATCGAAATTGAAAATATCTGTCATCTGCTATATTTATAAAATAATGATTCAAACTAAAATGTGTTCAAAGGAAAGATCAAATTAATAGCCGTACTGAGATTTCAATCATATTGTGTGCTCTTTATTAGCAGCTGATCAAGTAATGAAGATCATGTGAAATAACTAACACAAAATAGTCTAAAGCAATTTTGTCAATATCATCTAAAAACCTTTAGTGAAGCAGTTTTGGGGCCAAATATTATCAACTCTACAGTAAGCAAGTGTCACTCTTACTGCCATGACAATAAGGAGGTCCTTAAAGCTTGTTTCATTTTCCTCTTCTTGCTTTCTCGAAGGATCTTTGATAGGAGAAGTTAGCAAGATGTCAGCAGGTCAAAGGCAAAGACGCTGAGTCACGGACACTACCATTGCTATCATGACAGACATTATTATTCATATGAGTTAAAACATTAAAACTTTATAACTCATCAATCAATGAACTGCTTTAACGTCATAGGATTAATGTTAATTACATTCTTAGAAACATTATTCAACATTTGTATCAGTCCATCAGCTGACTTGCTCTTGCTCCGCAGTTTTGTTTCTGTCATGCTTCTACTGAAATTCTTATGACTAGGAAAGGTGGGGATGACATTTTTTTACACGCCAACCCACCACCAGGGTTTATATGTTTCGTCTGCATGTGCAAATACATTAAGCAATCACATAGAATAGAATAGAATAGAAAAACTTTATTAATCCCCAATGGGGAAACTCAATTGCCACCAGCATATACCACACAACATACAGTATAAACAGAAAGGACAACCAGTATGTACAAACAAGACAACATCAACAAAAAAAAATACAATGCACCCATTTAAAGCCTTGAGAACTCTGATTAGAGATGACAGGTTTTTAAAAATGTGACCAGCTGAAAAGCTTAAAGACAAAAATCAGAAATATTCATTAAAAAATCGAATTGCTGTTGGAATAAAAGACCTTCTTGGCCGTTCAGTAGAACACCGAGGCATCTTAAGTCGGCCACTAAAGGAACTACTAAGTGTCTTAAGGACACACAGCCTTTTTAATCAACTTATTAATCCTATTTTTATCCTCTAAGGTAATGCTGCCTCCCCAGCAAAGCACAGAATAAAAAAGAACACTGGCTATAGTACCTTGGTAATAATAATAATCGGTATAAAGCAGATTACTGCTCACATCAAAGGATCTTCCTTAGGAAAATAGCTTTGACTGGGCCTTCTTAAAAACAATGTCTGTGTTTTTTTCCAGTTTAATTTACTGCCCAGGCAAACACCGATATATTTATAGGACAAGACAAATTCGATTTGCTGATCTTTGATGATCACAGGAAGAACCTCCTCCTTCTTCCTCCTAAAGTCAATACATTTCAACATTTAGTTGAAAAAAGTTTGACTCACGATGGACTGGCGTCCTGTCCAGGGTGTACCCCGGCCTTCGCCCGATGTCAGCTGGGATTGGCTCCAGCCCCCCCACGACCCTGTACGCAGGATAAGCGGTTGACGATGGATGGATGGATGGAACTTTGACTCACACCAATTCACAAAGGAGGCAATTTCATTTTTATAGGCCTGGTCATCACCACGATTAAGAAGACCAACAAGGGCAGCGTTAATCCGAAAATTTCTGAATGTGGCAAGATGCCTCACTATGCCTGTAGTCAGAAGAGTAGAGTAGTGTGAATAAAAAAGGGGATAAAACTGTGCCCTATGGTGCTCCTGTTTTAGTTAGAATATTGTCAGATATTTTGTTATCAAATCTGACAAACTGGGGACATAACAAGAGGTAGCCTAGTCTAAAATCCAAGCAATAGTGGTGTTGTGTAATTTAAAATTAATTACTTTTTGGGCTAAAATGTGTGGTTGAATAGTGTTAAACGCACTACAAAAATCAATCAGATGTTTTCCATATCACTGGAATTTGTGATGACGATAGACACAACGAAAAAATTGTGTGCAGTACTGAGCAC